TATCTTCCTCTTTTACCTTTTCTTATTTTTTTTCTTCCTTTTTAAATAGGCAATGGATCTTCCTCTTCCACCTGAGACACAGGAACACGAGAACTTGCTTGGTTTGAGAAGTAAATAGCGATGAGATTATTTTAATTTATTAAACTATTTTATTCTTCGAGTATACAAGATAGTTAGTACACAAAAAAATGGGATATTACTTCTTGGCAAAACTTTGATAAACTAAAATTTTAGGAAAATAAAATAGGTATAGTCCACCATAGTCTCAAAAGAAGAATTTGAAATTAAGTTGAGATGCACAAATCAGAATTTCCCTAAATTCTTTTCCTAAAGAACAAAGTAAACCAAACACAAGTTATATTTGAGATTACTATAAAGTGATCTAACCGTAAATTTTTAAATATTTTATTAAAAATTATATTATTATTTAATAATTGCAGCTTTATATTGACTCTAGAACTTAAGACTTGTTTGGTATAATAATTTAGGGGTAATGATTAATAGTTTTACTCAAACTACTATACAATAGATGTTTAATAAATTTATTTATTTTAAAATTATTACAAACTAAGTATTCGATAATTTTTTTTTATTTGATGGTTTGAAATTATTAGATAGTAATTAAGGGTACAGACCACTAACAAATTTTATACCAAATCACTAGTGAATTAAAATTTTTAAATTTTATTAGTAAATTTATCTTTTTTAATTTTTTGTACAGTATGTAATTACCACTTATTTAATTAATTTTAATTTATTTTTTCTCTTTAATAATATTAATGGATTTTTATATTTTATATTTTATTAATTTATAATTAAAAAATTTATATTAACTTAATAAACAAAATTTGCTAAGGAGATAAAATAATTAAAAGTTTATTTTTTATTTCTTTAAAAATAGTAAATTTTTTTGTTAAAAATAGAAATAAGTGTGATTCACACATTTATATTTTATTTATTATTATTGTTTTTATAAAATTAATAATTTCAATTATAAAAAATATAAAAAGAAAAAATACGCCTAATTGCTTTGAAATATACCCTTAATAGTCATTTAATGTCAATCAATAACTACTAATCATTATATAACCAAAAAGTTATGTCATTCAAAATCTCTTATCTACAATTCATTGCTTACTAACAATCACTTGTCATCTACTATCCGTTAATTATCACGTGCAATTCGTTAATTGTCACTCACTATTACCATCCACTACATGTTACTTTCTATATAATGAATTTTAATTATTATAGTAAATATATTCTTAAATCATGAATTTAATTTATAAAATAACACTTACTTGCGAGGAATCCAACTTTGTGGTTATTAATTCCATCCCTTATTTACAAAGTTCGCCTACCTTTTTTGAATCTACTATTCTGCTTTTACAAGCACTATTTGACGAAATCATGCAACATGATTTCCGTTTTAGCTAAGGTAATTTGAATTTAAATCAACGGTGATGATGACACTAATACCTGTAAATTCAGTGAATTTTTCAACATTTGGAGCATGGTTTGATTTCTTAGAGGCTAATGAATTATTATTATTATTATTAATCCCCTAATTTTGATTTAGATAGCAACATGAATATAACTGTTACTCCTTTTGTATTAGAATGATATACACCTTTTTCTTTTTTATTCAAATTAAGGATTTGAATGACAATTTTTATTTTGCTTCTATTATTCTTAAAAAAGAAATAAATAAAATTTATAATTAAAATAAAAAATAATGATAAAGTTAAATTAAAAAATATTTATCTCTTTTAAAATATGAGAAAAAATTACTTATTTTAAGATAAATTTTAAATAAGAAAATATTTATTATTCTAGAATGGAGGGCATACTAAATAGTCAAATTAGGTACTACTCTTGTTGTCTTTTAAAAAAAAATTAAAAATTTGAAGATAATTTATATATTTACCTATATTACCTTAAAAAATTAAAAAATAAAGTAATATTTTTTTAATAAAATAATTAATTAAAATAAATAAATAATGATAGGGTTAGAATAAAAAAATATTTATCTATTTAAAAAATAAATTAATTATTTTAAAATAAATTTATAATAAAAAATGATAATTATTTTGTGAACAAAATATAATATGAAATTAATGAGTTATTTTGTTAAAGATGAGTAGAATAAATAGAACTTTAGA